TACGTTTCTGGACTTGGGAACATTTCAGTTGTATTGCTGTCTATGCAGGGTCAGACAGCTCTCAGATTCCATCAAAAATATCTTAATTTGTGTTCCGAAGATGAATGAAGGTCTTACGGGTTTGAAACGACATGAGGGTGAGTAATTAATGACAGAATTTTCATTTTTGGGTGAACTGACCTTTTAAGTGATGTTTATATACAGAGATCTGAGTTCATTTGGTTCGATGGTGTCACTGGCATACAGAGTGACTCACCACTCCATCCACAACACACTCTGTGTCTCTGACTCAGACTCGCTTCATCTCTTAAATGGATGTTAGAGGTCATCACATAAGGGACTATGGGTGTCTTTGCTGTCAGATGTAATCTGTATATACATGCCACTACATTCACAGTGTGAATGGTGTTTGGGGAAAAAAAACTATGCATGTTATTTATTTTTCTTTTTTTTTATATAGCCATGGTCATCACTGCTAAGAAACTGGAACAGCCTGGCAGTGACTCATCCGGGCTACATGGCCTTTCTCACCTATGATGAAGTTAAAGCTCGTCTGCAAAAATTCATCCACAAGCCCGGCAGGTAATACAAACACTACACACGTCACAGTTAAAGGAATAGTTCACGCAAAAATAAAAATTCACCTAGTAATTTGGATATCGACTCCTGTTGTTCTAAACCAAAATTACAATTTTTCTTCGAAATAACAAAAAAGCTATTTTATTTTATTTATTAAATTTTGTATTATAAATATTTTTCTTAATTTTTATTATTATTTTGTTTTATTTTCTAGTCATTTTATCTCTCCGTCTGTCCAAAAGTTGCTCAATTAATTTTTTCTCAATAAGTCATTGGGTTGGGACAACAAGAGGGGAAAAATGGCAGAATTAAATTTTTTGGGTCCGCAATCTATTTAGTCCCAGTACTCAAGGATCTTGGTGTCTTGGGCTTCAGCCGTTCACCCATGTCTTTTTTAATTCAGATCTGTTCATGGCATCAGCCTTGTCACAGCAGCATTATCTGCGACTCTTACATAAACAGTGACAGGACTTACATGGGACAATGCACCATTAGTTGTTTGAATCCCCACTCGAGCGCACCTTTTTTTTTAACAACCAAAAAGTTTTGTTGTCTGTTGTGGAAGAACAGACGTTCCTCTCGTTGATGGCAGAGGAGCGGATCCAGCGAGAGCTTGATAGGGTGACGCGGAATGAAAAAGGTTTTTTAGGAGTCGTGGTAGTAGAGGCGGCGCAACTATAACGACATGTGAATAATCCCGCCCACTCTAAAGCGGTACTGAACTGCAGTGGAAACGCAAACCGTGCCGTGCCGTACTGAGCCGTGCCGAGCCAAGTCGTACCACGCAGTGGAAAAGCGCCATAAGTGGCCCGAAGGACAGCATGGTACCTCCCATCAATAGATGTATTGTAAATGTACCATGATGTCACAAGTGCTCTCAATTCAAAGAAAAGCAATCATATGACCACCCATAATGCACTGAGACACGTTTCTCAGTGATGGCTTGATCTGACACTGTTAGATTGTCCTGTTTCTTTTATCTCATGTCATAAGTGTTTGTTGTAACAGTCACATTTTCTCTTGGTTACAGCTATATTTTCAGGCTGAGCTGTACGCGGCTCGGCCAGTGGGCTATTGGTTACGTCACAGCTGATGGGAATATCTTGCAGACCATTCCTCATAACAAACCCCTCTTCCAGGCCCTCATCGATGGCTTTAGGGAAGGATTGTAAGTCAACACAGCATCTCGGTCTAAAACCCACATTTAAAACATTTAGATGTGTAATAAAGCATCAGATGTAACACTTCACCTCCCTCAGACCTTCAGTGTGTCTTACAGACTGACTTTATTCCCATTTAGCTACCTTTTCCCTGATGGCCGCACACAGAACCCTGACCTCACAGGGCTGTGTGAGCCCTCGCCTCAAGACCATATCAAAGTCACACAGGTCTGTTTTTGTTTTTATTATCCCAGTCAGACACCTAAATCCATCTAGTGTTTTGGATAATCTGTGTAACCCTCTTTTTTCATCGCTTACAGGAGCAATATGAGCTCTACTGTGAGATGGGCTCTACTTTCCAGCTGTGTAAGATCTGTGCTGAGAATGACAAGGATGTGAAGATTGAGCCCTGCGGCCACCTCATGTGCACTTCCTGTCTCACAGCCTGGCAGGTAAACCTGAAGAACCTTCAGTTGTCCATTAGTCTGGATACACACGTGTGTTTTCCTCACTCTTCGTTTATTTTCTCGATCTTTTAGGAGTCAGAAGGCCAGGGCTGCCCGTTCTGTCGCTGTGAAATTAAGGGCACCGAACCCATCGTCGTTGACCCCTTCGATCCCAAGGACCCCAATAGTGGAGCCTCCTACGGAGGCTGCAGGAGCATGTTTGGGGCCGAGGGAGCCCCTTCGCCCAGCTACGATGATGACGATGATGATCGCTTGGAGGACTCTCCTTTCATGATTAGCAAGCTGGTTGGTGCTAAAGTAAGAACAACTTTATCTCATTATGAGTTTATGGACATTCTGCTTTGCTAAACCTACATAAAGACACCTCTACCTGTTTTTCAATGAACAGCATTGATTCAGCTGTCACCTGCCTCAGTAAATATTATTTTTGTAATGTGTTCGAGGCTCCTGTTTTGAAGTTTAATATAGGAATTCCTACAAATCCAAACCAAATAACGTTTCCCGCAGACATTTCAGTATTACTCAGCTCCAGATTGTGGTAAAGGCTCAGAAATGTTGGCGTGAGTATTTAGCATCAGTATAGCTGTATGCTGAATGGTTTGGCTTGTTACAGGTGGAGAGGCCGCCCTCACCGCTGTCAGCTGCCCCTCAGCCCGTCGTTCCCCCAGTACCTCCTCGGCTGGATCTGCTTCCTCTCAGACCCACTAACCCTCCCGGGGCCTCTAGTCCAGGCGCCACATCCAAGGTAAATGCACTAGCATGGAACGTTTCGCCAAGTTTTTCACCCTCAGTACCTCAGTTTGGAATGTATTAAGCATTCTTTTTAAACACTTCAGAAGAAAATATCTGAGTTAGGATTAGACGAGCGCTTGTTGATGTTCAGTTTTTAATATCTGGTTTATTCCTCCCATCCCCAGGCCCCATCCCATCACAAGGACAAGCCGTTACCGCTTCCCCCGTCCCTTAGGGACCTGCCTCCTCCTCCTCCCCCAGACCGACCACACCCAACCGGATCAGACAACTGGCTCCCGAGACGCCCTCTTCCCAGTACGCCTGGAGAACCTCCTCGGGACAAACTGCCTCCTGCCCCACCTAACCGCAACATGCCGGACTGGAACTCCCGGCCCGTACCCAAAGCTCCATCACAGCCACCAGCAAGCGGAGACTCACGTGGGTCTCGAGAACTCTCAAACAGACACTCTCTGCCTCTCCAACTGCCCTCCACGCTCGACGCCAGAGCAGAAGGCCAGAGGAACAACGGCCCCCCCAGCCTCGACCACCAGCTGGTGAAAACCCACATGCCATATTTACACATTGATAGAAGCCTAATCTGAACTTTTATCTAACTTTCATTTGCTTCATGTGCAGAGTTTCGGATCATCCAATCCTGGGTCAGATTACGACAGCCCGAAAGTAAAGCCATCTGCCTCTGCTAATGCCATCTATTCCTTGGCAGTCAGGTAGGTGCCATTGAGCCGACATCACACACAAAAGACTAGGGCAGCACAAAGTACTGCATATCAAAAGAAAACCGGAAATTGCACTTAATGCAATAGTTAACAACTTAGTGCTGCTTTCAGAGTGAAGCTTGGCGCTATGTTCATTTACATGTGTGAAACAATCTGCTCTGAGAAGCTGAAACACTGTGTCATGAGCCATTTGTGTGTAAAAGAACACAGTGCCAAGCTTAATTCTGAAACTGGCAATAAATATATTTATTCACCAGCAAACTAAAAAAAAAAAATGATGCTTTAATATTTGAAAATAAACAAAATAGGATGTAAATATTAGAATTGTAATTTTACAATTGCACTATAAATAAAATAATTACTTGTATTACATACAGTTAAATAGTATTATTCCGATGCATTTTATTTTTTATCACAATTTTATACAAATTGTATAGTCATATTGTAGGGTGACCATACGTCCTCTTTTTCCCGGACATGTCCTCTTTTTAGACCTACAAAAATGCGTCCGGCTGGGATTTCTTAATTGCCCAAAATGTCCAGGATTTGACTGTTTTCTTAATCCCGCTCCCGCTAAATCTCTGACCATTGCCGCCTGCTCCCGCAACATGTGTTTCGCTCCTGCGATTTTCATTTCCACTCCTTTAAACATTCTAATATTGTATATAATTTTGGCGCATCAGGGAGCCGCTCTCAGAATGCGGTGTATTTAAATATTTTTGAATGAGCGTTTGCGCTGTTTACTTTCACTTTCGATTTTGCAATCACACGCACTCTGTGTAAAGGGAGCACATCTTACAAGATCAGGGGTCTCATTTATAAAACTCTCCGTAGATTTCATCCTAAAAGTGTACGTATGCACAAAAGCTAGATTTTGAGCCAGAACCTGTGCAAAAATCCCTTTATAAATCTCAGTCAGGGGAAGATTGTGCGTACGTGCAACTGCACCCCGACTCCTCCCCGAAATCACCATATATGTAGCTTACAACACCTAGTTTTACTGTGCATAACCTCATCTGCATATCATTTCCATGCATATTCCCATCGACGTGACACCATGTTTAACACCGTTAAAGGTACAACACATTAAGGAAATATGAGATACGGACTATAAATGCCATTTGTGCCATACACATTCATTTTTATTGCTAAAAAGCATCCAGTATCCTTATGTTTTAGCATAAATGTATCAAAATCCATAAAAACAAAACTGTTTAAAATAATTCTCAGATAAATATTGTAGAATAGAGTTGATCTCATTCTTTTCCACTGGCCAAATACTATTTCAGTTGTTTTAAACAGTTCAAATCAAATTAAATTTATGCATTTTTGCTGATAAGGTGAACATCTTTTAGCTATTTTTAGCCTGTATTTATTGCAGTGTAAATAGAATTGTCTGACTCTGTGCGTCACTGACAAAGTAGCCTATTTTAAAAAAGAAAACATGCATACAATTTTCTTCAAGTTGTATCCTTCAAATACAGTGGTATTTTTCATAATGTTGTGGAGATGCCTTCACA